TAACGCTTCAAGGCACAGTTTGAGATATGAAGAGCTTTTTTTTTTCTCCTCTGGGAAGAGGAAAGCTATCTCCCATCTCTTGCCCCCGAGAGAGCGAAAACAAGATATGGGATAACGCACAGACGCCATCAGAGTCTTGAGCCGTCTTTCCAAGACGGCTCAACCGATACCGAATGACCATTTCCCAACAGAGTTTCTATGTCAAACCAACTTGATTCTAACCCCATGTGCTACAAAGGGAGAACTTCTTCCTTCATGGATGCGAGGAACAAAGGGTGAACATTCCCCTTCAAGGGATTCATGTCCAGACAGGGGAGGAAGGAATTAAGAAACATGGGTAAACTAGACAGTGAGGACAAATTCTCTTTTCCAGCCTTGGCACGGGAAGAACGACTTTATTCAGGATGACCTAAACCAAGGGCATGACCCTCTTCTCGAAGCTTTTCTTCCCATCTCATCGAGTCCAAATGTTAATTCGTCAGGGGATCGAAAATAGTTTGAAACCCTGAATGGGGCTTGCTAGGCTGGTATGAAACGCTATGGTTAAACACATATATAGGGTGGTTAAAAGAAACACTCTACCGTTTTCTATGGGAGAAACACAGTTTCATAAATGTTGCAAAAAAAAAAATACATTGGATAAGCGATCTATATTTGACAGTTACAAGGTGTTGAAATGCTTTCCAGCATTCTTTCAGCACCTCTGTCATTCTTTGAGCCATGTATTGTACCGTTACACAGTTTAAAGGTGGAGCATTGCACCTTTGTATTAAGCGCCCTCTAACTGGATACAACGTCATCTTGCGGAAGTGAAAAAAACCTCTTAGATTCATGAACCTCTGTTAGTACCTACTGGATCTAATCGCCCCTTGAAAAGTTAATTGAATTCTGAGACCGTCGAGCACAGGTAATCACCTCACTTGAGGTGTAATGATCCACCTCTAAGTACCTTCAATTCACCTCTAAATGGGCACTGCACCACTTCGGCAGGGGTGCTGAAAGAAAGCTGGCAAGCATTTCAACATCTTGTATTTGTTAAATATCGATTGCATATCCAATGTAATTTTTTGCTGCGTTTATGAAACTTTCTCTCATAGAAAACGGTAGAACGTTCTTCTTGAACCACCCTATATATTACCTCGCATTACGTCGATACTCCAGCAACAATCGTCAAAAGCAGCCAATTTTCTCCGCTATGTCCGCTATCTCTCATAGAAGGTACAATTTATCTTATGCTCCTTCCCACTCTCCTCGAAGCAGGTTACCCCCTTTCTTCCTCGCCCCGATTACGTCGTGGCAACAATTTTTTTGCAGCTCAACGTATGCAGTACACTCAAACGGTAAATCAGGCAGACTCTCGACTTGACCATGGTGGGAGGGATGGGTTCGTCTGCAAGGAGATTCCAGCGACAGTTGACATCACTAGTTTTTATTCAAAATCCACTCAAATCGAAATACATACACATACACAGCACGAGGACGATAGGAATGTTTCCGACGGGCCAGTGTTTTTCGGAATTTAATTCCAGGCATAGATTCTTTCATGTCACGATGTGGAATGCTTTCTTTTGAAACACTGACATTTCCTAAATGTCTTCAGTTTTCGTTAAAAATTATACAATTCCAACACATTCTTTCAACGCCCTACCGGAAAATTAATAACATGTAAAAATGTGTTATTCGAGTGAGGATTACCAAATAAGCCCCTATTGTGTACCTTTTCCGCGAAACATATTTCGTGCTCTATGTGATATTTGCATGATGCGTATCCAAATCTGAAAAATGCATGTAAAAAACAGCAGTTTCCCATCATGCACGTTGCCATTCATCTTTTTCCGAACAAGGGAAAGAAGGGATAGAAGAACTTAAAAACAATCAACCAATTCCTCTTTAGAATGCAGATTCGATCATAATTTTTTTGCGGAGGAAAATGATGAAAAAAAATTCATAGTATTACAGAATGGTCGCAACTCTGACAGCAGCCAAGTAAAATTCCTGGTACAAACTTAAACAAAATCACAGTAAGACAATATAAACCATGAATCACATGCAGTCTCACCTCTCCAGCTCGGCACATGAATCTCCCTCTTCACAATTGTTGGTTGGCTCTCTTGAGGCTAGCATTAAAATGGAGATAGGAAAGCTCCCTTTGAGCTGATACAAGCATACCACTGAGGATTATGATAATCAGAATTTATAAAAACTGAGTACTGTGAATGAAGAGATAGACTTCAAGTCAGATCATGAGGGCACAAAATTGCTTGAATATGCATCTAGAGTAAGTTTACCCTTAGTTGCTTTTCATTCACACTTGTGGACATGACTTCTGATGACATTTAAAATCACAAGATGCTAGAGATTGGTATGGCACACCACCTATGATTCTATTCTGAAATCTGTGATGTCCATGCACATAGCTATCATGCTCTAGTGAAAGTTGTTTAATATGGGGGCTGCCAAAAGATTACCAACATCTTTTATACTCATGTAAAGTACACTCATGTTGACATCATGCAACAAAAAGTTGAAGTAATGAAAAAGGAATGAGAATGATACATGTTGTTAAGATACTGATTTTTGGAACCTTTGCATTTCTTCTATAATACCTGATCAGATCAGACTAGAATTTCTAAACTGGCTTTTGCTATGTTCTTTCTTCCTCAACACTTGATTTATCACGAGATCTATTCACACCTGAGGCTAACTGTGAAGCATATGTGAGACTACAACTCCACAAGCAAACAGATCAGCAAGGAGAAAATCAGAGAAACAAAATATCAGGCATTTGAAGCATGAGCATACCATATAATGGATGAATGTAATGATCTGACTAGAAGTAAATTCCTTCCCCATTCCATTTTAGGTTATCTTTCAGGCTATGTTCATGGTGAGCAACAAGAAGCTGAGATTCCTTATTCTGATCACAGTCTGAGAATGAAGCTGAAAAAGAGGATGAGGAAGAGGCTAATTTAATTCTAGTCAGGGCTGCCCCAAAATGTGACTCCTCTGAACTGACAATGAGTAGGAGTATGACAGCTACAGAGAGTGAGGCTTACAAGAGGTATCACATGAATTGGTCCTCATCAATATGACTTCCTCATCACCATTACTTCAATACAAGTTACCTTATTACCAGATTCAAAATTAATATAATGCAGCTATATGGAACCATAGCTTTGATACAGTATGTATGCTACAAATTACAGCACTGAATACAGAATAAAGATTACAGCACAACCCACCCAAGAGAACCAGTAGACAGGGGCAAGATATTTTAGGAAATTTATGCTATTGGGATATCAGTGTCAGAGAGTTAGAGGATCCCCTCCGTTGGGAAGGGTGCTGAGGAATGTACCCACATGAGGAATTCACCCACATGAAAGCACTTCAAGTATGACTGGAGAAAAAGTTTTTGCTGTGATAGGAAAATATTATAGAAATCCATGTACCATCTTGTCTTGAAGGAGCAGGGGCATAAAAAAAATGATGAATTTATTTTCTTCTACAAAGCCTCTGAGAACAGATAAGACAATTCAGCTCAACCTCTCCCTATTTCCAGAATTTTATGCTTAACATTTTTTAAACATCACCAAAAGCCAGAACCCTGACTCTTTTATATCATCTTCAGAAGGCTCTTTCCCTATTTTTTTCCTCATGTGATTATCAAGAGGAAGCCTGCTGTAGCTCTATGTTCAAGCAAGACATAAAGAAGTGATATGACTAAGACCAGAAGGAGAAGCAAGAAAAAGAGTGTCAATATGTGAACATCTGTGAACAGAACAGTGAAGCATATTGCATTAGTTCTGAGCAAGGAAGTAGAAAAGGATTCTTTACTGCTTCCACTATCCTCAGCAAGCAGAAGTGAGCAAAGAACATCAAGTAGGCCTCTCCATCAACAACAATTTCGTGAAAATATAATATGAGAACTATTATGCTGATGCCAGAGTGTCTTGGGACCAAAGGAGTCCACATGCAAACTCAGGATGGTACTTCTCTTTCACTGTAACAGACCCAACTGCCCCAGGAGGTACCAACTCCTAGAAAGGGGTAGGTGTCAACTATATCTCACCTTTTCCATGCAGTGATTCACAGTGACAAAGACAGCACAGGATGGCATTGATGAATGCCAGAGCTCCTGGATCTAACCAAACCTGTGAAACCTAAAACACCCTCCAGGATATTTTAGGTTTTCACATGGACACTTAATTAGTCAAAAAGCAAATGTATGCACATCACTTTGACAGAGATCTTAACTCTCATTACTCAGGTATCCATATTTGGTAGTTTAAAATATGATAGAAGGTTGAGATCCCATATTCTTTAATGTTCTTACTGTGTGGGTTTCTATCACTAAGGTCACTTGAAGAAAGAGGTGAGACATAGTATAGACAGAATAGAAAGAAAAGGAAATCTGCCAAAAGAAGAAGACTGATACCATGCACACTGTAGGCCTGCAAAAGTTAATGGCAGCATATGGAACTCAACTGTAAGAGATGCATCAACTTTTAAAACAAGCCTTTAAATTCTGGGAGGTTAGTAGGGAATGTAGAAACCAAATAATGACCAGGTAACACTACAAAGTGAACAGAGAAAAAGTTAGAACTAGGGTTGGTATGGCAAGGCAGGAAGCACTCTCCAAATATACTGAAAGGAGAGGGAGAGGCTTTCATGGGACAGGGGATGAGGAAGTTGCTCAAAATGGTAAGAACTGTAAACAGAACAAACATGGGTCATGAATCCAATGAGGGAGAGCAAGAAGATAGACAATCAATCCCTTCTTAGGCTACAAGAGGTGGTAGGCAGCAACCTTCTTGATGAACAGAGCAAGTGCAACTTTCTTTTTCCACCTTTCCCTTTAAGAGAAGAGGTTTGGGTGACAAATATATATATCTAGCAAGGCAAAGATGCGTTTTCCAAAGCACATCATGCCTTCAAACATCATCAGTAGACATTGACATTTGACAGCTGCATGGAAAGCCATCAAAAAGTATTAAAGAGTGAGTGAAAGGTCACCCTAGAATAGGGTCACAGTCAATTGTTTGTACTGGAGTCATGGCAACTGGAGTAAGGTCACTTCATGCAGTCATTGATGTCGGACTAGGTAAGTAGGTTGGTAACTGGGAACAAAAAGTGTGCCATTACACAGTCTCCAAGTACTATAGCCCTAGAGCTGGTTAAGGATTCTCATCTATGAGGGTCACATACAAAGGATGGGAGAGAAAATGCTTTTAAGTGCATTTCATGACAAAAGAAGGGATCAGATGGGCCGAGGAATATGAAGACTGGACACAGAATGTGTGAGAGCTGGTATGTGATTCACACCCAAAGGTCCCCAGTCATGGAGTCCTGAATCTGACCTCACTCGATGTGAAAGATGATGGGAAATTGTGAATCCACCACTCCCTTCCAACTGAGTCAGCACTATCACCACTTGCCTGCAGGAAAAATTAGCCCAGCATCAGAATGATTCTCATCAACAGTTCATTCAAGCAGGGCTGGGTAAAAAAATTCATTTTGCTTTGTTTTTGTTTCATTTCTTAGCAAACTCTGATTACTTCATTTCTGTTTCTATTTCTCAAATTTTGTTTCATTTGTGTTTCTGTTTCTATTCTGTCACAACTTTGTTACTACTTTCATTTTTTATTTCTGGTCTTACTGTAGGAATACAAATAAAAGTGTTTCACCCAACAAGGCAGATCTCAGACTGGATTTACTCAATGCCAAATCACTCCCAATTGCTGCAGATCAGAAGGATGTAATTGATAGATGCACTATGCAGGCTTGAATGCAAGACCATTAAGAACTGGGCTCTAAAGAAAAGTAATTAGCACTGCAGAAATGGGCAAGTCACACTGCAAACTCCATTGATTGAAGGAAACACTGCAATGAGCCTGGGTCAGGGTGTTGTGCAATAAAAAAAAGAGTTATTTTCCAGTCTTTGCACTTGATACATCCATTACCATTAGGCACCACCTCATGCTGATAGTTAGAACAGTTGTGCTAATGATTCAACATTTGTACAATGCTGATATTTATAGAGACTGTGTGGACAACTTCATTTTAAAATATCATCCAGACTAGGGTGAAGGCAAAGTTGAAAATAACTTTGCCTCTAACAATAATAATAGCCTCTAAATAACTTCACTAACCCATGAGTAATCTCTATATGCTTATAAAGAAGTAAATTATGAAGAGTTGGCATTTCATTACATTTGATTCTTCATTGATATAACCATATCTTAACATTTTGACCTTTCAATGTTGACATTCTGCAAACAGGGATGTTATGTCTGGTTTTTCTTCTTCTCCTGTTGCCCATGTTAATTCCCCATAGACTGATTATAGGAGAAAAGAACTTTATACTTCTAAATAACACTCCAACCATTGAAGTTGATATAAATTCTATCCTCATCAAGTTCCATTTTCTCTTTTTCTACACCATTCTTATGTTTACTACTCACCAAAATGTTGTTTTTGTTCCACCTGTCTGCAATTCCCATTGCAGTCAGCATAATTAAGGCATAGATCCCTGATTTTCTCTTCCTTTCAGTATCAAATTCTATTTCTGCTTTGTTTCTCATTTGATTACCCAGCCCTGCATTCAAGCACTACATATATACCACCAGGGGCCTGTTCCACAAAAGATTTACAAGTAACAAGTATTTACAAGGGTCTTGGTTGCATGAAGGGTCAGGGGGACCTGCTGGAAGAATTAAACAAGAACACATGTCCCTCATAAATACTTGTAACTTGCAGCTTGTAAATCTGTGGAACAGACCCCAGAGTCATATATCCAAGTGGGATTAAGCAGAGAAAAGAAAGCTAAAATAAAAAGAAACCTGTGCAATGGGGGAACAGAGTCAATAGTCTTCAGCTCTCCTCTCGTTGAGACTACATTGAAACTCTGCTCACAGTCACATATGACTTGGATGAATCTATCAGGGTGTCGATTTTCTATCACCACTATGAGACCTGCCCAGCCCTTGGTCAGGTAATATGCTGTCATTCCTTCTCGTGCCTGCAAAAAAACAAAACTGACTCTCAGAGAAAGGAAGGCCCATAAAAACTTTTGAGAGTGATGTTTTTCAAATGTGTGACATTCAAAGCATCTGGAATTTAATCCATACTTCTTGCAGAAAGGAGAACCTGACCTCATGCCTCTGTCCCTTGGCCAAAGTAAGTGCTATGATGGCATCAGCATGATGGTATGTAGGTGGAGCCACTTGCTCAACCAAGACTGAGCGTGAACTGTGCAGAGCAAGGACATATTTGGGATACTGCTCTGGATCTTCCAGACCTGCCAAAAAATGCATTCCTTAGCAACTTTAGTCACAATAACATTGACAAGTCAAAGAGGATCATTGACAGTTGGCATTCCAAAAGAAATGAATTTAAATTTAATTAATATTAAGCCTATCTGTTTTCTCACACAAGAACCCAATTTCAATATGTTCATGATACCATCCTTAACCAGACAATCAATACCCTTCTATGAAGAATTAGCCAAATGGGAACTTTTTTGAAGTCTCAATTGCAGTTTGCTTCATAGTGCCAAACCAATTTAATTGATCTAGAATTTTCATTAACTTTCTTTTCTTTCTTCCAATTTCATGAACAGGCCAGAAATAGTGATTGTTGATGGTTGATTGTTAACTTGTCTATTAATTTGTTTGCAACATTGCAACAGCAATCGAGTCTCTTGGTTAATTAGATGGTGATATTGTCAGTTTGATTCCATTTATAAACCATGGCCTCCTCTGAAGCTAATTAGGAGGGACAAATATGGGTCTTCACTCTGGACTGCTAAATCCTTCCATTAGTTTGGCACTACCTGGTCCAGTACTTGAGGCAAAGCTCAAACATTGGAAAGGATAATTCAAAACAGTAAAAATTGCATTCAATCACAGTCCCAAAAGTAAGAAAGCAAGACTTGATGCAAAAGTATCACCCTTGAAGGCATGAGGCATTGTAAGTAGAGAGTGGCACTTTCTTGCTTGGCTTCACAATTTTTTTGTGTGATGGCAATGAGATAAATTTGCCCATAAAAACACTACAGCCATCATAACTAGTTTGGAAAAGAATCAATGAGTTTTTCTTTTCTCTCATACTTTTAGTTATTTTAAAGACTTCCCATGCAAAACAATCAAGAATAACAACATTGTTGATGCTTCCTACTGGGAAGCAAAAACATGAAAACAGGTGGATTTCACCTTCCTAAATTGAAATTCTCTTTGTAACTATGCTCTGATTCCAGGATGGCTGACAACATAAAATTAAAAAACTGATTGGTTTTGGGAAGTGTGAAATCTGAGTGTGGTATCATGGTAAGTCAGAGAAACACAATATGAACTTTTTAGAACTGACATTCATGAAGGAGGGTTCACATCTAAGTTATTTATTTATGTCTAAGAACAGTTCTCATAACAACTTTCAGGAATCCCTTATCTTCTTTTTGCTCTGCACGTTCATGAATGAGCAAGTCCAGATTACCATTACTTTATGAAAATTATAGGGTCACCCCATATTACATGCTTGAATGGGCATGATTACACATGATTCTTCCTATTGTAAGAATTACATGGGATTCAAGCATATATGATAACATCTCAGAAATCAGTAAAGAATGAGTGCATTCTCAAAATGAATCTATTTTTCTGAAGGGAATTGTGCTGAGCTGATCCACAAAAAGAGTATAAAACAATAAGTTTCTGGAACTAATAAGGTCCTATTTCTACCAATAGTGAGTAGATCCATATTGGTTGCTTCTTCCATGCAGAAAGTATCTGTGGATGTGACAGGATGGCAAGTTTTTCTAAGTCAGATGGAAAAAATCAACAAAGGAAGCTTCAGTTGTAAATTCTTTGCTCTACACTAGTTGAGATCAATTTCAGGCTCTTGAATGCCAATTTGAAAGTCTGCGAAGAATTTCAAATTGGCATTCAAGAGTGAAAGTGGTTTTGCCTACTTATTCCACCTTGGGGAAATGGGTTTAATATTTTTTCATCAACCTTGTTCTAAAGCACTATTGTGCATGTAATTTGAGTTTGCAATCATCAATACAGGAAAGGAGAAGTACTAGAGTAGGCATACCAGTATTCCAGTGATTGAAAGACAGAGGGCAGACAAGGTACTGGCCAGTCTCAAGCACTGAGTGACAGCCAACAAAGCCTCTAACTTGTCTCTTGGAATGAGTCACATGGTTCCCTATGATGGGCTGCTCTGATCTCTCAGTGCTGGTTCGCAGGACTAGAATGCATAGGTCCAACTGGGATCTATCAGATCTTGAAGACTCCCTGTCAAAAGATGGAAATAAGGACTCTTATTGATACAGTCCACAGATATAGGCTTACAAGTTGCTTATGCTCACTGCATAAAGGTTTCTTGGGAAGGAGAGGAGAGAAACATTGGGGCCAATGAAGGAGCTAGACCCATAGAAGTGAAATGAGTTTGTCTAGTTTTGATGTTGATATGAAATTTGAAAAAATATTTTGCTAAATTGGATAAATACTTTGAATAATTATATCCCATGGGGAATCTAATCTATTGCCCACATATTAGTTTACTGATTGGAAGGCAAATATTTTAAAGACAGCTTTGAAGGTGTGAAAACATTTCCATGAAATAAAACTCACACTTTTCATAGCATCCTGAAGATGTGTAACTGGGATATATATATCACAGATATATAAAAGTTCTCCAGGTATCTTCAAATAAAGAACTGAAAAATCCCAGGACATGATACACTGTACTTTTCCACTTACTTTAGTGATTTCTCAAGCTTTAAGTTCTCTACTGTTATTTATTCATTTATTTTTTAAAAAGACAGGACACATGACAGACACAAACAATGGACATATTACAGTACACAGAGAGGAAGGGAGTGCCTGCTTGGCATGGGCACCACATCCCAATCACAGTACCTCAGACTGAGACATTCCTCTACGGTCCTATGGTCAAAGGGGCAGCTCACGGGTGGCCTAAGCCCATGACTGACATGAGTGCTTTTCAGGGTTACTGCACCCATATCTCCTAGATGTGGCACACAAAGTGGGTGTGTGTTATCTCACACTAAGCAGACACTCCCCATGAAAGCAGGAAAGCAGTGGGCTCGATCCCTTGCCTCCCAGGTTTCACCAGGAAGCCAGAACCACTTGGCCACTGAACCCTGGTTACTGTTATTTCTTAATTACCCACAAACAATGGCAAAATAAACTTGTTCTAAACAATCTAAACTAAAATGGCAATGTTCCAATAGTTCCAGTTATGAACCTATAATTCACAGGTCTTGCATGATCAAGATCTATCTTGTTCTTTTTATAGATCTAGGTGGGTGGAAGCTAGTCAAGAGCCAGTCATGATGCAGATCACCTGGATTTGCCTCTTTCAGGAATAAAGTTTCAATTACCAAATGGAATCTGAGCATTGCCATTCCTGGCCATGTAGAACATCTGCTACCTGCTGCTTGAAAATGGATCAAGGAAGCCCATACCATGGATATTAGCATTTGCATAGTTTTTGTCATGTATTCCCATTTACATCATTGTCTGGTAGTTCAGGTATGAGGCTGGTTGAGAGCCAAATGATGACAGCGAATGGTTGGCAATAAGTAAGAGGGGGCTTCAGCTGCAATTGCATTTGTATGTAAAAACACTTCCTTTTCTTCTCTATATAGTGTTCAATGGCCACCAAACAGATGCCAACAGCTATTAATGGTCTATGACGGCCATGCACAGGGTGGTGCAAAAAAAACTGGTCCACTTTTTAAACTGGTCTAGAACAGGAACTATTGAAGGAATGGGACAAAGGTTTACAAAGAAACGAGTAAACAACCCACTTTGTTAACCTGATTTTCAGGTTAACAACATTCTAACAGTTCCGTTAAAACTACACCTCTCTCTCTGACGTTCGTCACCACCTGGAGAAAGGAGGACACATTGAACATTTCTTGAATAAATAAAGGTTAGTTGNGATGATCTCTTACCCTGTGATCGACGTGGCTACCTGGTGTACTCTCAGGTATCACTGGTTCTGAATTTGCATAAGCCTAGATGACACATTTTTCCCTATTCATGTGGTGATTCCTGTCGTGTTGTAGGCAAAGAGAAAACAGCTATGGGTCCCTTTGATTGAGAAGGCAGTGGCAAAGCTGCATGGCTGCTACGAAGCACTGATTTCTGGACGTGCCATTGAAGGATTAGCCACTCTAACTGGGGCTCCATGTGAGTCCCTGTCTCTCCAGCCATCTTTGGGGTCTTCTGAGGAGATATTGGAGCCTGATCTCATCTGGGCCCAGCTGGTCTCCAGCCGTGAAGCTGGGTTTCTCATGGGGGCCTCATGTGGTGGAGGAAATATGAAAGTCTGTGATGAAGAATATCGACAGATGGGTTTGAGGCCCAGGTATTTCTTCCTGAATTCATCTATCTTGCCTTTCTCTGATGTTAGAGACAGAGTGGGTTCCATGAGAGTATTTTACAGACATGCTTACTCAGTGCTGGATGTGCAAGATGTGAAAGGGGAGCAGTTGCTTCGCATGAGAAACCCATGGGGTCATTTCTCTTGGAGAGGAGATTGGTCCGATGAGTGTACAAGATGGACCAATGAGCTGAGACAAAAGTATATGCCTCATGGAGCAGGAGAGGGAGTGTTTTGGATTCCTTTCAAGGATGTCCTCAGGTGTGTTTCCATTCTCTTCTGGTGTTACTGACTCAGTGGTTGTTATCATCCATGGGATGCAATATTCTTCATGCTTATTTTTCATCAGGTATTTTGATTGCATCGATATCTGCAAGGTGCACAATGGCTGGAGTGAGGTGCGATTGCAGGGGCTGCTTCCACCATGCACATCTAGTTCCCATTCATCTGTTATCATCCTCACTGTCCTTGAGTCTACTGAGATGGAGCTGACTCTCTTCCAAGAGGGACAGCGGTACTTTCCATTTTCTTATTCAGGTAGATAACTTATTGAGTGACCCTCATAGCTTCAATAGTTCCTGTTCTAGACCAGTTTAAAAAGTGGACTGTTTCTTTTGTACCACCCTGTACATGGCTGTCATAGACCATTAATAGCTGTTGGCATCTGTCCCTACCCAAGTTTTGTACATTATCATGTCTTAATTTTTTTCTGATGAAAATGAGTTTTACATCATTTGAAAGCCTAGACCTCTCTTAACAACTGCTGTTAAACCTGACAGTTTGTGATTTCTGGTTGTGGGGATTTTTGAATAAGGTGCATGCTACAAAACCCCAAATATTCCTGACCTCATCAGTGCCATTTCCACCAAACTGAATGCCATTAGCTTGGATATGTGCCAGAAAACAGTGAATGACTTCCCCCAATGATGCTGTATGTGTCATGATCAGAGTGGGAACCAATTTCAGTGGCAAAAAGATGGAATCCTTATTTTTAATCCCTGCATCCCAGAAACTTTGCCCCCAGTTTGGATCGAAACTAAGACTAAGTGAATGGCACTGATGAGGTGAAGGATGTGAGGGGTTTTGTAGCATACACCTTCTCTTTCAAAAAAAACCCACAAGCAGCAATCACAAACCATCAGGTTAACAGCATTTGTCAATAGAGGTTTAGGCTTTCGAATGATACAAAACTTATTTCCATCAGAAAAAAATAAAGACATGATGATGTACAAAACTTGGGGTGGGGTTTCTAGGACACCCTGTATATTCTTTCATTAGACCTCCTCATCCACACCACTACAAGTGGTGTGAATGAAGGGCCCAATTCCCTTATCAGGGAACTCTCCTGATCTCACACCTATGGACTTTTTCATCTGGAGTTATATAAAAGAAAATGCCAAGAGACAGAAAATGCCAAGTGTGAAGTGACAGACCTAAGGAACCACATACATAAAGCATTCACCAGCATCATGCATGAAATGTTGGCAAACATGTGGGCAGTGCTCTCATACCACTTGGAATTGTGTTGAGAGTGAGGTGGACAAGTGGAGGACTGACAGATATTTCTGATAAAAGACCTTACCACAAAAAATGTAAATGAAGTGAGTTTATGCATGGGAGATTTCATGGTTATAAAGTATTTTTCTACTGAATTATGACAGATTATTTTTGGGTCATACATTCATGGACACCCAGTATAAACGCAGTCAAATTTGGTTTAAAGGCAAAACACACCAAGGTTTCAGATAAGCTCCCTTTTGCATCAGATGCAAGTCAGACTACTTCTATAGCAAATTTTGGATGATGAAAATGGAAAGTACCGCTGTCCCTCTTGGAAGAGAGTCAGCTCCATCTCAGTAGACTCAAGGACAGTGAGGATGATAACAGATGAATGGGAACTAGATGTGCATGGTGGAAGCAGCCCCTGCAATCGCACCTCACTCCAGCCATTGTGCACCTTGCAGATATCGATGCAATCAAAATACCTGATGAAAAATAAGCATGAAGAATATTGCATCCCATGGATGATAACAACCACTGAGTCAGTAACACCAGAAGAGAATGGAAACACACCTGAGGACATCCTTGAAAGGAATCCAAAACACTCCCTCTCCTGCTCCATGAGGCATATACTTTTGTCTCAGCTCATTGGTCCATCTTGTACACTCATCGGACCAATCTCCTCTCCAAGAGAAATGACCCCATGGGTTTCTCATGCGAAGCAACTGCTCCCCTTTCACATCTTGCACATCCAGCACTGAGTAAGCATGTCTGTAAAATACTCTCATGGAACCCACTCTGTCTCTAACATCAGAGAAAGGCAAGATAGATGAATTCAGGAAGAAATACCTGGGCCTCAAACCCATCTGTCGATATTCTTCATCACAGACTTTCATATTTCCTCCACCACATGAGGCCCCCATGAGAAACCCAGCTTCACGGCTGGAGACCAGCTGGGCCCAGATGAGATCAGGCTCCAATATCTCCTCAGAAGACCCCAAAGATGGCTGGAGAGACAGGGACTCACATGGAGCCCCAGTTAGAGTGGCTAATCCTTCAATGGCACGTCCAGAAATCAGTGCTTCGTAGCAGCCATGCAGCTTTGCCACTGCCTTCTCAATCAAAGGGACCCATAGCTGTTTTCTCTTTGCCTACAACACGACAGGAATCACCACATGAATAGGGAAAAATGTGTCATCTAGGCTTATGCAAATTCAGAACCAGTGATACCTGAGAGTACACCAGGTAGCCACGTCGATCACAGGGTAAGAGATCATCAACAAGGACTGTGGTCCACCGACCATCTTTGCACAAACGTACTTGGTATGCCCCTTCTAGACAAACTTGTCGTGTCACCATGGTTCTTTCAACGAGCTCACGACGTTCAGCCAAGACAGCCAAGGCACTCAAAAACCAGCAGTTCCCTAGAATGCCTGAACCAAGGCAGGAATACATATATTAAGTGTTATAAGATCATATTTGTTTGAATGATATTCAGGTACTCAGGTTTCTCACATTCTTTAAGCACACATACCTTGAGTGATGTCAGAAGGTAGGGGAGTACGATACACTGCCCATTTTACACCAGGATTGATGTCCGTGGCAATGTCATTAGGTCTCAACCATTGATAAACTTCACTTCTGTCACCTGCCCCTTTCATTTTGTAATAGAGGGACTTTGGAGCAGGAGGGAATGATGGATCAACAAAGGGGATCTTATTCTACAAATAAATAGAATCATAGTACACAATCATTCTCCAGCAAATCACTTCTCTGAATTCTGGTGCAAGATAAAGAATAAAAACCATTTCATCTCACCAGACGGCAATATGCAACTATATCCCTCCATTGTTGCCTGGCATCAGATTCTTCAACAAGCCGGAGATCTTCCATCAAGGCACTTTCTCTTTGTGCTGTACCTCCTGACATAGGTCTAAATGTCATAAGACTCCTGGAACTTCCACAGACTTCACAGATGATGGAGTTGCTTGGATTCTGAAATGTACAGCCTGGGCAGGCCCAGTTGGGAGAGTCCAGAGCATTTGGAGTATGAGTTCCTCCACATACAGAACGGATTTGCTCTGGAAGAGTTTCATCACCCACTGTTGAAAGAGAAGGTGCAGATCTTCGAGTTTTCAAGCCTGAAAACTGGGAAGAATGGTCTTTTCTGCTTTCCTTTCCATCAGTCCCATCAAATCGCATGCGACAAGCCTGACATTTGCGGACGCTCAGGGGGTTCTTCAAAGTACAACGGCTGCAGTTCCAAAATTCACCTCTTTTCATGGTTCTGTCATTGGCACCAAACAAGCTCCTGATTTTGGACCCTCCACATGCTGAGCAAGATGTTAAATTCCCTAAATTCCTCAAAGTGCACTTGCTACACTCCCACTCACTCTCTGGACTGGAGTCAGGCAAGGAATGGCGCCTGACACGTGACATTTCTCGATTCTGGGATGTTTTAGAAAACTTGGCAATTGCACTATTGCTGTCATTTGGAGATCGCAGAGAAACATATTCTCCATCTGGTGAAGTTGACATCTTGGATGAGCGATTGGAATGAGCAGTGGGAGGACTATGTGATGATGAACGGCGTGATGTCAAATTTACCAATGACCTAGCAACATCATCACTACAAATTTCTGAAACTGCTCTTCTTTCTGAGGTCTTATTTCTGCGACTATATGTGGGGAATCCACCTGAAGCGCCATTTGAACAGATTAGAGAGACATCTGGAATATCAATTTTTCGTGGACCTCCACAGGCATCACAACGTGATCTTGCAGCTGGATTTTCAAGAGTACACCTCTTGCAAACCCATACAGCTCTCCTGTGCTTCCCAATGTTCTCTTTCCCCATAATTTCAACATCTGTCAGAGATGACTGGATTTTACCTATTGGAGATGACTTAATTGCACTGGAAATCTTGGAAAGCATGGTAGGAACATCAGGTGGAGAGAAATCACTATCAACACCTGAGCTTGAGCGACTCTGCTTGGATTTGCTGTCCTGGTGGTGACGCACAGAATGCTGGCGTTTGGGTGACCGACTTGGAGTGTCATTCAGTTGAAATGGGACTGCAGAAGCATCATCTGGCTGGTTGTCTTCTTTCTTACTTGAACAGATAATACAAGAGGCCACAGATGGATAGTTTAAGTAACTACATGTGAGGCATTCCCAGGAGAAAGGATCCTGAACTGACTTGCCAGTATTCAGCACTGGCATAATATTGGATAACAGTTCAATGTCAGATCAGTTCTGTTTGCTTGACCTGGATCCTGTCAAGCCAAACAGAACACATATTCTTGCCTGTTAATAAAAAATTAAAAACCTGATAATTAATGATGCTGTGATAGTGCAAAAAAAAATCCTTCAATATTCATGCTTTACTGGTGTACATTCCTCACTAAGAGGAAATCTGATAATGTTCAGTGTTAAAATGTATTCCTCATTACAAGGGCACCCAGAAATCTTTATTTCTTTATTTCACCAAAGGAGACAGTTCCTAGAATATGGCTGACTTTGGGGGACTGCAGGGACATGAAATATGATGATGATATTATCCAAAAGGTCAAGCTGTGCCTACAGTGGGACAGTAGGCAGCACATCCATTTGTGAACCTGTCAATTTAATGACTTCAAAAGATTATCCTGCATTTGAAACATATGTATGCAAAACACAGAAAAAGTAAAATTGTATAGTGTCTTCTTTGATATTTTGGTTACCTTTTATCTGGGTCACCTGTACTTCTGCTTAGTGGTCTATGTACCAGGTGGTAAAAAAAAGTTTGCATGCATATAGACAGATTACCTTTAGAGAGAAGAAAATTTTATAGGAAATTTGCAAAATGTCCCATGCAACATGAGCAGGTGATTTCATGTAAATTTCAATGAACCAGACTGCTTATTGAAGTGACTGCTTTTCCCCCCTTCCCAATGCCATATTGTTAATTTGCAATTGTGTGCTATTGTACAAATCCTGTATCCTTGCTTCATGGGCAATGGGACTTGCTTTCATTTGCCCTACTGAGCAGAGAGATGCAGGCTTGTTAATTTGATGTTGCAAAGGAAGCTGTTAAATGGGTTCTGAACAGTCATTTTCAATTAAATTTTGGGATACTATCAACACCTTTTGGATGTTACACCCTGTGAAATTCCTGCCAAATTCATAATTGTTGTTTTGTCTGCAGACATATCAAGTTGATAACTTCATTTTGGGCCATCCAGAATACATCCACAAAAGGATTCCAAAGCTAATATGAGTAGTACATAGCAACAATATATCGGTTTTCCATGATGCTCCTTTCGTATACGATCAATGGCGTACCGATATTCAATGTAAAATGGATATTGGCGTAGGCATATCTCTAGAGTTCTAACCTCAGTCTAGGCCTAACCTCTCAATAGCTCACTGTGGACACAGCTGATACATCAGCACATGTGCACTGCGGGCGGTGCGGGTGCGGCATGCGAACTTTGTCAAAAATACCTGCACTTCTTTTGTAGTATTATTTTTTTAGTAGCTTACTACATATCGCTAGTCATGAGCAATTTGGGTCGAAAGTCCAAAGGGGACAGTAGATCTATTTTCTTACCCTCGATGAGATGACCTGGTTCTCTAAGCAGTAAACTACAATGTAAAAGTTGTCTTCTTGCTGGGTTTGCCTTTGTAACGACCCTAGGTGAGATGAGGTGAGACACCTAGGATCAGGGAAGGCTTTTTTTTAATTATCCCTTCATGGGCTGTGGGAATCATATTCACCACCTAATTTGCATATGATTTTTGACCATTAAAAATATGGAATCTGTTTCTTACGTTTCTGCGTAATTGGATAGGGAAAAATGCAGGATTGTACCAACTTTCCAAAATAAAAATGGTCCACAAAAGGGTTAAAGGTTTCCAGCGTGCTATTGGATTCAGCTGAGTGCCTCAGTCTTCTACCGTCAGTCTCTCCGGAGAAAAGTACAGTGTGTCCCAAAGTAGGGCATTACCATATTGCATTACCAGAAAACAACGCAAAATCGAATGAAGTTTATATGCCTGCAACGGTCCTGAGTGTCGGGAGTTACGTTACAGACTTTCTCAAAGGATAAGCAAATGAGCGTTGCCAGCGAAAAATAATGGAGTGATATTTTCCATATAATAGGCAGCATTTGTGTGCACGGATCACGGCTGCCTCCATAACCCTGTGGCTATGATTTTCTGGGAGATAGCCTCCGAAGCATTCCTAACATTGTCTTCCAGTGCAGCCATTGTCTGTGGTTTATTTGCGTAAACTCGCTCTGTCAAGTACCCCAAGTGGAAACAATCCGATTATCTGGTGTGGAGAAGTCTGAAGATTTCGACGCAACCGGAAATAATGAACTGGAGAAAAATGGTACGCATCAGTGTCATTGTGTTCTAGGCTTGATAAAATATTCCATCCTGTGGGAACAATAGGTCTCTCACGGAATGGTTATGGTACTGCAGTGCATACAATTGCTGCCTGCGAGATGGTGGGTATTTGGAAGGCGTAATTTTCCATGTGTAACAAGTGCGTAAATATCCCTTGATGAATATGTAATGTAACTCTTGGCACTTAGGAGTATGGCAAGTATATTAACTTTATTCTATCAATACTTGACTATGTTTTCTATCAATAGTAATGCAGAATTAAAATCCCGATGCTTCTTTTGCGACACTCTGTTCATATATACAGAAGTGACCTTGTGGGAATCCGTCTTAATACTAAGACTGATAAAAGTAAGCGGTAGCTCTGTTCCCCGCACAGCACAGAGCCATCCCTGGGAAGTCCCCATCTGCACGACTTGTCCCAAGATCTTCATGAGACATCCTAAAGACATCTTCAGCCAAACGTTTCTCGATATCTGGAAAGGGATGTTTTTGGGACATCTTTAAGAAATCGACAGTCGAATGCTTCTCAATATCCTTAAGGCATCCTATAGTTTTATCTGCCAGGACAGCATGGAGATATTCCCGAAGGATCCCGAACTGAACGACTTGCACCGGTATCCTCCCTGTCAAATATCTTCAGAAGAGATTCCTTTATAACATCACGCTTGTAGGAGATTCTTCCTTGGGATATCTCTCATGGATTGTGCTTTCCCCTTGACGCGCCTCTTCGACCAGACGGTTCTTGGCTCTGAAATGTCCCCGAAAGTCATGCTTGGGACCTTTTACATGTCTCCAGGGATTACTCTGCACTCAGACATTTGTATGTCTCTGAGATGCCTCGATTGCAATTATGAAAACAAAAAACGAGCGTCTGTTCTTACCCGCCAAGACACGGAGAGCCTCGTGTCAAATGGTTCTTACGTGGACATCCCCACTAATCAGAGCTCGACTTCCATGTAAAAAGGTTTTCCGGAATTTCCCGACTTTACGGCTAAGAAATTTCCCATTATGTAAACCTCCACCAAATCTCGATTTTCATTAATGGTATTTTTTTTTAATTCCTCCCTTTCATAGGATATATTAATCCATGTTAATAGCGGCATTCATGTTACACCTTTCTCCTGAAATAATACGGCTGAGGGACTATTATACGAAATCCGACCATTTAGTCTAGCAATTTTCCCCTGGTCTGCGCGGGAAAAAAAAAAACATGTTTCTAATAGTCTCAGAAAATTCCGAGCATACAATTACAAAATAGCTGCCCTTCGTCCATGAGTTGCAAATGGCTTTTCCGAGAAATTTGTCGTAATATCGTAATATCCACACGATAATATGGAACTTTCGCATTGACATTTTGCGGAAGTAATCCGAGACCTTAAGTTTGTGATGCGAATAGTAGAGGACTCTGACTCACCCTCAAAATTCTCCGAAGTATGATATTCTGGTACAGCGAGAATCAGAGGCTTCACTTCCAAGTGAAATTGTTTTCGTGCTAATTGCCCTGCCGGATGCAGGGGGAAATTGCAACATGATGGCTTCTTAACCCCGGAGGGAAAAGAACTGCTATGAAACCCAGCATGCACTGCCTCACCCAGAACCGAATCGCCAGGGTGCCCACGACTCACCGAATGTCCTAACAGGCAAATTTACCACTCACTGACGCTCTTCTAACGAAAACGTTGTTTTCACAAATTGGTCACCATGCCCAACAACTACCAAATCCATGCTCGTATTAATCCGATGCTTCATATACATGACTGCTTTCCAGCTCATGTGAGGTGTGATGGACTAAATAGCTACAGTATTGCTAGTATTAACATATGTTGTTAAAACGTTAACCGGACACCCCGTGTTGGAATTTTCTAAGAGCATGCATTCAAAATGACAACGCTAATATTTAAGGGACAACTTGAGAGGGAAAGACTATCTTGTCCTTAACTTGCTTTTCTTGTCCGACATTATTTTGCACATAAACGTTATTTTTGCATTTTAACAACAAAATCATGTCACAAATCTATGCACATTCGCATGTAAGAGACTACGCTTGATGCAGTTTACCAACACAAAGAACAAAACTCCAAAAAGGAAGAAGGAATCTACAGCAGGGAGGAAAATATGCGTATGGAGGAAATATGGGGGAAATATCAATATATTCAATATATCCCAGTTTCCGTCTGGGACGTTTTTCCGGAGGGAAAGAATATGCGGAGGGAAAAAACGTACCATGACACAGACTGAAGGAATGGTGCGTTCACACAGGAAAGAGGACATCGTCGAGTAATGAACGCAATGAAGGAATCTCGGAAAAAAGGCGGAAAACCCTCACGCCTCGGGGGAACACATGAAAAATTCCTATCTTCAGCGGAACAACCGATTCTGACTGTGCCCAGAAAAAAAAAAGAGAAAATGAGGAATTGGAATTGGCTGGATAAGGGAAAGGCTCCTTCACGTACTTTCCTCGCTTGGAGCGATTCTGGGATTTTCTCGCAACAGCATGACTATGTGAGAAAACAGGAAATATCGTTTCCGCGCGGAGATCATGCCGGAAATCCCTTTTCCGCACTTAGACGGTAAAACAAAGATGCTCATGCATCACTCGGAATTTTGTTGAAAATTTTTCTCTCTGTTGCTAAGAAGCTTTCTAAAAAGTTGAACCAGTCAGGTCAGCCTATGCAAGCAAGACTTTTTTGAGAGCAGCAAGACCCTCTATAGTATGAGGG